AGGCCACACTAATGAAATCAGAAACCCTGGAGGGAGGGGCAGGACCCAGGCATCAGCATTTTTTTTAACAGACTTTATTTTTCACAGCAAAATAGAGAGAAGGTTTATATACCCATACACCATGTACCCATCTTCCCCCAGCCCCCCGCACATCAGAGTCTCCCCATTATCATCATCCCCACGGGAGCGGCATGTTTGTTACAGTCGATGAGCCGGCACTGACACGTCATCACTCAGCGTCCATCATTTGCGTTAGGGCCAGTCTTGGTGGTGAGCATTCTGTGGGTTTGGACAAATGTGTAATGACATGTATGCACCATTACAGCACCATACAGAGTATTTTCAGTCGTTTCAGTGGCCTTGGTGGTTTTGAATGCTCTCTAGGTGATCCCCATGTTGAAAGCCAAGGTTGAGAGCCAATGTGCTGTATTGTAGTTCTGGAACTTACTTATTATAAGTTCTGAGTGCCTCTTGTCCGACTCGCATGTGAAAACTACCTTAATCTCCTTTATGCACTGGGGTTCCCCTGAGAGTCTGTTTGAATAAAGGATCCTATGAGAGCTGGATAATGAACGCAATGAGAAAAAACACTAGGCTTTGGAGTCAGAAGATTCTAGATTCAACTGTTTGCTCCACATTTGCTGGCTAAGTGACTAGGGCAAGTTCCTTAGCCTGTCTGAGCGTCTAGCCAATGGATAATGCCCAACAGTGTTGTTGAAAAATAATAAATGTACCATCGTTCAGTGATGCTTAACCCACAGTAAGCACTCAACACGTGGTCGTTTTCCATTGCTCCGTTTCGTTTTGCCCCATTTTGGAGGCAAGGAACACCCTTCTTGGCCATCAGCCACAGGCATATTCTTCCCAATCTCTTGTTCTGTTATTGCCCTGATATTTTCTATTGGCCTTTTCTGGTTTGGAGTAAGTTTTGGTTCCGATATCTTCTGGCAGACGGTAGGCCTCCTGATAAGATTTGAGAGCTTGGGAAGGTCGGTAAGGGCCAGTGGTCTTTTGCTTGAATAGAATTTCCATACGTCACTTCAGCCCCTGGAAAGTAGGAAGCATGTGCGCGGTCATCTGCGGTGGATCAGATAAGAACGCCCCTGGAGCTTTCAATGTGTTCTTCGTGCCGAGCATTTTAGTCCACGGTAACCTGTCAGAACTAAAAAGATCTGATTTCTGACTGAATGTTTCGCATTTTCATCTGCTTGCTGTGAACTGAGAAATGTTTGGACTCGATACAGAAGACGCAGTTCAGGCTGGCTACACCGGTGGCATGTGGTGACTGCTTGACTTTGGCCTTGAGGGGATGTCCTGGCCGTGTCAAGTCTGCATCTGTGCACCCAGGGCCACTGCACTTGTCCCCACAAGACCGTCCGTCCAGTCAGGGCAGAGGCTGAGACCCAGCATGCTTTGCAGGAATGAATGGTTGATTGAGAAAAGGAAAGCGGGAGCAGAAAGGAACGAGGCACAGCACACACACAGAGGAGGGCAAAGAAGGCAGGCCAGGGCCCCACGGAGTCAATGACTGGCCTGATTCAGGGCCTGTTGAATCTCGCTCATTTGAGAAACAGAAAGATCTTTGTTGGTGCAAAAAAGGTTGAGGATAGAGATGTGGCCAGCTGGTCGTCGACGGTCATGAGTGGAAGGGGTTAACTCGGAGAGGAATTTGGTGATCCTGTGGGTTTGGAAAAGTACGTGGACTTTTGTGAACGTTTCAAAAGATGAGTCTCCCTTGGGAGTCCCTCCTCCAAATAGGAAGATGGCTCTCAGAGGAAACCTACCTAAGCCTCCCCTGGGATACTGTCAGCGTTCAAACTTGACCTTGAGTAACCTCTGCAAACGCTGTTTGTTGTGGGGCATTGTGGTTAAGCCCTTTGTGGTGAAGCAAGTGTAATTTTTCTGGCTTAGCTTATCTGAGTTTAGTTTGGTATCTTTTATGCTTCTCTCATTCATTCATTCATTCATTCATTCATTTTTTCCAACTTTCAAACAGTGTTTGTTGAACATATGAGAAAAGGCCGGCATTTGTGAGGCAATGAGAATATAATGGTGGACAGGGTGGGACACAGTCCCTGCGCCGTCCTGGCTGCCGACAGCCGGTCATTTCCCAGAGTGAGGATGACTTGACAGGGGAAGGGCAGGATGGGAGGGAACACAGGGCGAGGGGAAGTTTGAGGCCAACGCCAGGAGGAAGTCACTTCTAGACTGAGGCCTGAAGCGTAACTTCAGACAAAGCGTGTAGAGGAGTGTGTTCCCGACAAATGAAAAGGTTACTTGATTAGGGTTTCGGGCTCCCTGAATAGAGCGTAGCTTTGTAGCCTCCCCTTACTCTGAGCCATCCAGCTGAGGGAGGCCCGAAAGAGCCCCGGTTCGTGGAAGCAGGGCGCTCAATCCAGCTGCAGGGCGGCCCTGTCCTAGGAGGGCTGTGAGGTCCCCAGGCTGACACCTGCATTGTCCCCACTGACACACATCAGCTGTGGGCTCTGCTTTATCCCGCCTGGTTTTCTTAGGCGTCACCGTTGACACTGTGAGGGGATCACGTGCTGATGGTTTCCCCGGAGTGTTCTGGAATTAGAGAAGTAAGTCTCCCTCGCCATTTTACGGATACCTTCCTTTCTCTCTTTAAAATGGAAGTTGTTATGAAAAATAAAATACAGAGGGTGCCCCCCCCCAAATGTATATACATTTTAAGAAAGGGAAAAAAACTGTTCAAATTGTAATACTCGGTATATACCAATAACCAAAGATGGATACAAGTCATGTGTGTATATATTTTTGGCACCCCCGGTGTATATGAGAGAAAGAGGCAGCCAAGAGAGAGAGAGAGAGAGTGTGTGTGTGTGTGTGTGTGTGTGTGTGTGTGTGTACGTGTATGTGTACAGTTTACAGAGGAAACATTAAAATGAGCCCCAATGCCCTCACTACTAACCTAGGAAATTAAGCGTTACCCACCCTCCAGCCTGTTCCGGTCATAACCACTGGTCTGAATTTTGTGTTCAGTGCTCTCTTCTGTTCGGCTTTCTTCGTATGATATAAAAAGGTCATATTCATGCTTGTGTCAGTAGATACGACAATATCAGACGATCACTGTCCCAGCAGCCAACGAGGTAGGCCGGAAAGCTGTTTAAATAAACTGTTTGACTGTACTCTTTGAAGCAGGAGCACATACTACCAACATCAAAGCGCTTCAAAAAAACTTTCAAAACAAAAGACTTCTTTCAATTTCGAGGAGAACCTTAACAGGGTTTGTTAAAACGATGAGGCTTTTCCAAACCGGGGGATTACAAATGGACCTAGTAGTCCCACGACAAAGAATTACTTCATCTGGTAACAGTTTTGAATGCCCCGTCCAAGCTGTGAAAGTGTTGATTCGCTCGTAATAACGCTAGTCCAGTGTATTTCAAATGATTTTATGGCAAGAGAGTTTGATTTCCCTTGGAGTCAGGTCATCTTGTCAAGTTAGTGGGGAGGCATTTTTTTTTATATTACTTCAATAATTCAAAGTATTGAAATAGATCGTGTCAGGAACTAGCCTCCTAGGCAAACCATTCTTGAATTTGGTTTTTTTTTTTCTTTGTGGTTGCGATGAATGTTGTTTTGTATTCTCCATCTGCTCTGCTTGTGCCTAAACTGTTTTTGCTTCTCCATCCAAAAACAGAAGAATAGCAACCTTTGGGTGTCATATTTGACCCCTATAGGAATGACCCCTGGGGGAGTTAATGCCATAGGCTCTTCGATGACTTGTCAAATAATTGTTCAGACTCCTTTCACTTGAATTGGTCTACAAGGAAGGGGTGTTTTTGTTTGTTTTCTCGCCCTTTGAACTCCAGAGTAACTTAGCAAGATCCTTTACCCGGGAAGAAAGTTAGCTGAGATCCTGTTACCATTTTGAGGTTTATATGTAAGTTAATATGTAACTCAGAATCCAGAGTTGGCAGGATGTAAAAATATTTGTACATCACTTAATCTTTTTATTTCGTTTCGTTGCTGTTTTTATTCCTGAGGCAATTGATTTTTCCAGGATTCAACAGGAGACGTTACCCCCATCTGTGAGTTACTTTTCACCGCGAGTTTTACCACTATACCCTAACTATAAATCTTAGTCCTAGAAGAAACCTATTTAATGTCTTACTCGGGCTGGATTCCGGTGGGCAGTGAGGAGGCCCCGTAGATGAGAACAAATCTTCTCTGCATCTCAGTGTCCTTTGCAGTTGCATCTTTAGCCATTTTAACGAGCTCCTAAACACTCTCTTTTATGACTCTGAAGAGGAGCCGTCTGAATTCCACAGTGATTTTACTATGTACTTCATGATCCTCCTCCTAGTCACTTAAAAAAAAAAAAAAAAGCCCAGACAAAGCAAACCATTCCCAATTGTTTCAGAGAACAGTGAACTCATGTCTTGCTTGAGCTGCATGGAACGTAGTCTGAGAGGGAAACCTGTGTGGAGTTGGTCTTGTTTCCCACACAGGAGAGACCTACCGGTGCCATTCACGCTCAGCGCAGTTGGTCAGAAAGCGCTGCCCTGGGCTCGGTGCAAGCACTTTGGGGTTCTGTCACGTGCATGGTGACCACGGGCAGTTTTAAGCAAGGGCGTGCCCTGACCACCTGGCTCTCAGCGTTCCACACGGTGGGCTCCCATCTCTCATGCTTCATGATTGCCCAAGACACCTCCAGCCTCTGTACTTGGGGGTGCTCATCACAGGCAGAGGAGACAGGGCACCCGGCTGGCTGCTGTAGCACATGCGAGGGGAAGCTAGGAGAGGGGGTCTGCGAGGCGGCCGGAAGTCAGTCATGCCACTTTCTGGGCCTGTGTGGACTTGGACCTGATCCTGGCTGGTGTAGGGGACCCTAGAGAGTTTTGAGCAGAGGAGTGGTAAGATCTGACTTGCATTTTGACCAGATCTCTGGCCTCCCCGTGGATTGGCTGCAGGTAAGTGGCTGAAGGTGGAGGCAGAGACACCAGCTTAGGGAACCACTGAAATAACCTAAGTCAAAGATGGCGGTGGCTTGGATCAAGACGGTGGCGTAATTAAATTAAGCCTATCTTAAACAGATTGTCTAAAAGCCATTTAGGGATTTGGTGAGTCTTTTTGGTCAGAATTCCCTGGCTGTCAACTTGGACCCTTGGCCCGCTTCCATCTTTATATCACATCTCCGCGGGACAGCCTTGCAAGTAGGCGGTGTGGCAGCCCTGGTTTGAGAAGCCGTGTTTACTGGCTGTAAAGACCCTGCCTTTCCTTGCTCGTCACTGTGGAGAAAACTGGTCGAAATCACAGAGTAAATGAGGGTTTCAAACCAGAGCTGCTTCCTGAAATAAACTGGTCACGGCGTCCAGTCTGTGCTCTGTCCTTCACTTTTGAACTCAAGTTCCCCTAGGGCTGCTTTCTTGCCTTCCCACAATGGCAAGGGATGCCTTTTGTTGGCTTCTTGTGTAAAAGAAGGGCTTGTTTTGAGGCTTGGACCACAAATAATAATCCATTGTTCCCTATAATAATAATCCACCCTCTTCAGCAGACAAAAAATCTGCTTGATGTAGTGTGGCTATCAGTTTATTTAAAAGAATAGCCAAAAGTGCCCATTGTGTCCTGAGAATAAACATTTGGAAGATGGTTGGCAGGGCTGGGGGAGTTCTCTTGTTCCCCTTGGCCTGGACTCAGAGTGAAGACCTCGGGAAGAAAAAAATTCTGAATGTGACTCTCAGTCCCGGGTGACAATACCCCTCCTTATTCTGCTCGTCTCTTACATTCTAAGAATAATTGGAACACTGTAGATAGGGATTCTCTTGAAACTATCGCTTTAAAAAATATCTTATTTTGAAGATGGGTGTTTTTAATCTTGTCTGTATTAGTTCTCATTGTTTCCAGTCTTAGGCCAAGTAAGTTTTTTGTTGTTTTTTTCCTAACGTTCGTTTAGTCCATGAAAATATCTCTTTTTGAGCAAAGATGATTTAATATCAGCAGCAATGCTTAATATTTCCTGCGGTTGCCTCTGATTATAGATCTTGAAAAAAAGAGTTATTTTTGTATTCCAAAGTGATAGACATTTTAACTACTATTTCCTGGGCTTAAGCTAACTGAAAAAACTCAGTGGGTAAATGAAAACGTGACCCCGTGTGGCTATTTCCTGAGTACACATGTATCTAGCAAACTGAAATCTAATGGTGGGTAAGAGTCCACTAATGAAAGTAAGATACACGATTTTTTTTTCTGCCTTAAATCCTTTGTAGGAAAAGGTTCAGTTAAATAATAAACATGGCTTTAAAATGAAGTGATATCTAGAATAGTTTTAATTGCTTTAAATATGAAAAAGTTCAATGTCCTTTCAACTGAAATGTAACAGGTGAACATGAGAACTATTTAAAGAAGTAAAAACATGGCCGCCACATTATTAAAAACAGACCGCCAGAGAAGCAACCAAGATGTCCCTCAGTAAGTGAATGAATAAGCTGTAGTACTAGTAAAAATATCTTCTTACAAAAAGACAAAACGAAACAAAACAAATCCCAGACCATCAGCAGCATATCCTGTTTGCCGGAAGTACCTGGCTATAGAATATTCTGCTGGGAACGTAGAGTACACGATGGCAGTGGCTCAGTGTATGTATCTAGCAATCTTCTTGTATCTTTTGGCATCTCCGCTGAATGTGCACCGTGGTATCCGTGCTCACGCTTTCCTGTTCCTCTCTCTCCAGTGACCAGTGGCGCAGCGGCCCTGGAGGTATATACACCCAAGGAAATCTTCGTGGCAAACGGGACCCAAGGGAAGCTGACATGCAAGTTCAAGTCTACCAACACCACCGGCACATTGACCACTGTCTCCTGGAGTTTCCAGCCAGAGGGGGCCGACACCACCGTGTCGGTAAGAGTGCTTGACAGCTCCCGGCGGGTTCTACCCCACAGGCTTCTCTCCTGATGTCGTGTGATTAGCGAACTGTTCTTCTGATGACTCACTTCCACAACCGAGGGAGTTTGGCGTCTAGCACAGACTTCAAGGCCCCTGTCTTACGTCAGACTCTCCAGGAAAAAATAAGTTCGGCACCTCCGAAGTGCCGTTCTTTCCTTGTCCCTGCGTGTCACTCTTGCCTTGCCATCCCCCCAGCTCCTCCACCATCACATCCCAGTGAAATTGACCTTTTCCACAGAGCAGCCCCTGACTGACCTTGCGGACTCTGATCACGCTTTATCCTGCCTCTTTTCAGCCTCCGTCTGCCCCATTTTATGCGTATTTCTTTTAAGTGTTTGTTCTCTCTCTTTCCCTCTCTCCTTTCTGATTTAATTACAAGTTTCTGGATTTATCTTATAGTCCATCTGATTCAACAATATTCAGTGGGTCTGTAGGGTCTTCAGAAATGTGTAAAGCAATGTCTGCTCTCTCTTGGGGAACAATTAGGGGTAAGAATGGCACGTCAGTGACATCACTGTGAGTGGCAGAACAGAAATGCAGGGCCAGAGGGTTGAAAGGTAGGTTAGTCAGTAAGGAGATGAGTGCTGGTTGTACAGTGGGTGCTTATTAAATGTGGACTCTTGTCTGTAAAATGGAGATAATAGAATGTCTCACAGAGGAGTGTTATGAGTGTGAGCACCTGGCAGGCGAGTCTCACCTTGCAGGGCAGTTATGGGCATCGAACGTCATTTTTCATGGGTGTTTCATGTTTCTGCACATCTTGCCAGCAGACACTGGTTGCCTTTCTTGTACAGTCACCAGCCTTGGAAGACAGGGATGGTGTGTCCTTGGGAATAGCAGACAGGTTTGCTTACTGTCCAGTATAGGAGAGATAAGTCTCCCTTTGGGGCAAAGGTCAGATGGGCTTACTGCCCGTTATAAAAGATTTGGGTTCCCTAAGCTTGGGGCTCTGCTGTGTCACAAAGCCTCTGTGTGCGTAGCATCCATCTGAGCACCCTCCAGGCCATCCCTGGGGGACTTGGGGGTGGGGGGGGGTAAGGGCCACAGATAAAAACATGCTGCTTGCTGTGTCAGAAGTAATCAGGTCCTTTGTCTCCAAGTCTTCGTCATGGGAATGAAGACTTCACGGGAATCCTGTGTCTTCTGCCAGCCTCCGTGAACCCATGGCAAGGAGGGTAACATCTCAGAGCCTTCAGAATTCTTAACAAGAATTCAGTTATGTTCAGCTCAGGGGACATGTTTAATAGATGTCCTGCTGTTGTTATTTTTCAGTGGTCATTTGGGCTTGTGGAGGATGGATTAGAGGAGCTTGAGGCCAGTGAAGAGGCCATAGTCCGAGATGATAAGGGCATCAAATCAGGATTATCAGTGGGAATTAAATAGAGAAGAGAGAAATTTAGGTGGTAGGACTGATAGGATTGGGAGATTAACTGGGTAGGAAGGAAGAGAGGAATCAAGGACTCCTCCAAATCTATGGTTTGGGAGATTGGGTGGAGCCATCAGCCAAGGTGAGATATACAGGTAGAAGATGAAGTTCATGGGAGAACTCCTTCCAAGGTTGGAGGGCAGGGGCAGCGGGGTGGTGAGGTGAGTAGGCAGTTGGGAGAGGAGTCTAGAGCTCAGGGGAACCCTATGGGTAGAGAGAAGAGTTTGGGAGTTAAGAAAATATAGATGGCCAGTAAATCTATACGAGTGGATGCGATTGTGCAGGGGGTTTTGGTGTGCTCAGGGTGCGCTGAAAATGCCCTCTTTGAAATGCCAGCGGCACTCTCCTACTGATTTTTATTCCTAGCCCCACTGTCACCCCAGCCATGAATAAGAACCAAGTCATCAAACCTCCAGCTGAGCTGCTTGGATTGAAGCCAAGATTAGGACACCCCCCTACGAGGCCTTACCTCACTTCCCAGGTCCTGGGTTTGGCAAAGTTACTGTGAGAAATGAGTCCCTTTGCTAAAAGCCGGTCTGAGAGGAGAGTGAAAGGGGAAAAGGAAAGGGCCTGAAGGCTGAACCGTCAAAGGCAGGCGAGACCATTTTGGGTTGTCTGGGCTGTGCTCCTTTGTTCCGTGGGAAACTAATTAAGTAAGAGGGAGAAGCCCATCGGATTAACTGATCTGTGATACTTGGGCTCCTTTCTGTGTCTTAATGGTAAGCTTTGTGAATTAAGACTGAACCTTTGCACTCACCGGCCCCATCGTGGTGCCCTGGCAAGAGTGCTGTCTCGGCAGATGGTCCTGACTTTGACACTGCATCACCACCTGTTACCATGGTGACCTTGGGCAAGGGGCTTCTTTCAGTCTCCGTTCCCTCATTTATCAAAATAGGGGTGGTAACTGCTACATCACTGGGTATCGAGAGGATTAGAGATGACACAGGAGTTTATTTCTTCAACTGAAACAGGATTGAGCCCCATGATTTTTAAGCCCCAGCCAGGCTTAGATTCCACGCGAGATCTGTAATATGATGCGTTTCTTCCTGCATGAAGTCTTTTTAAAAGAACTGTTCACAGCATGCCCGTTGTGGAGCTTAGAACTCCTGCCTTTGAGAATAGCTCATGTATTCTTTCTTTTCTAATTGCAGTTTTTCCACTACTCCCAAGGGCAAGTGTATCCCGGGAATTACCCACCATTTAAGGACAGAATCAGCTGGGCCGGAGACCTCGACAAGAAAGACGCATCCATCAACATAGAAAATATGCAGTTTATACACAATGGCACCTACATCTGTGACGTCAAAAACCCTCCGGACATCGTCGCGCAGCCGGGACACATTCGGCTCTATGTTGTAGAGAAAGGTGCTTCCTGAGTATTTCGGCAGTAATGACGTAGTCCCCTTGATCTTGTGTTTAGTTGGAGAACAAAAGGGACATTTCTGGGTGTGTTCGAAAGGAGTATTTTTGCCATACAGCTGTGCCCTCCACTTCCGTGGGGCCGGGGACTGCCGCCCCTGCTAACCCGTCTCTCCATTTATACACCTGCTGTCGGAAGCCTATGGATCCGACTTCGGCAATGTTCGTTTTTCGGTGTGAATTAGCAAGTCACGTTCACTATGGTTGGATGGGCTGAGCAGTGGGAAGGAAGATGAATACTGTTTTGATATTTTCTAGGACAAAGTTTTAACATTTGCAAAAACAGTACAGCTGTTTCTTCCCCTTTTTGAGAATAAGCAGGAAATGCAGGTTCTGGTGTCTGGCTCTGCTTTGTGGGAGAGAGTGGTTCAGGGTCACATCACACCCCTAATGTTCCTTTGATTTTAGCACCTGGAGAGGAATGGGGTGTGTAGAGACGCTTAGCCGCGTAGTTCCTTCTTTCTCAGCTAATGTTTGTATGCCTTTACTCAGATGCTAGGATTTCATCATTTGGATGATAACGGAGCAGGGGTGATAACTGCTAAGGGAAGCCACTTGCTTAGTAATGGAATACAATCCTGTTTCTTCTCTGTTGCAATGAACCATAACACTGTTTTGTTCTTTCTCTCTAGAGATTGTGCCCGTGTTTCCGGTTTGGGTGGTGGTGGGGATAGTGACTGCTGTGGTCGTAGGTGTCATCCTGCTCATCAGCACAGTTCTGGCTGTCCTCTACAGAAGGAGAAACTCTAAACGGGATTACACCGGGTACGAAACGCTGCCTTTGGGGGGACGGCCGGAGGGAAGGAATCAAGGGTTATAAAAACGTTGGTATTTTTTTATGGAAAAAGAATGGTGAAGAATCAGCTTTCGTGCCAGAATTGGGCAGTCTCCTTAGGAGGCGTCCTGACACGGACGAGCAGAGCTCAGTGGCCCGCTAGGAAACGTGGGACATGACACTAACCCCTGTTTTACAGTTTCTTTCCCAGGTTTGGGGCTGTGAGCTGTTCAGCAGTCTGAGCTCAGTGTTTCAGTAGCATCCACTCTGCCATGGGCATGGTTAAGCCACAGACATCACTTACCCAATTTAAGGGTTTCATTTTCAGCGCTTGGCAATAATCTCATCAGGTTCTTGCTTTCAGTTAGGCAAATATAAAACTAGTCAAGAAGTGCCGTGCTGATAAATGACCCCCACCCCCACCCAAGGCAATGACACAGGGCTTCTTCTTTTTATAGTTTTGTTGGCAGTCGTGTGGCTTTGATCATTCTTCAATGCATGGCTGGGCTCACTTAACCTGGGATAATGAGGGTTGAGCACCAACATATACCAGCAGGAAAGAAAAGTAGAGTCTCTTTTTGTTTACGGCTTCTCCAAGAGAACACACTTGAGCACAGGGTGTGTGTCTAATTGAAACACCTTCTCTCTTCCCCGCTCCAGCTGGAAAGCTAACCCACATAAGCTAAGTAGGACGCGCGGTAAGACACAGTGAAGGCGGGGTTCCAGCTACCCTTAACCATCCCGAGGGCACTGTGCTCTGAGGCTTGCATGCCCTGGACTCCCAGGCTGGTGGACGGTGGGAACCTCTCTCTCTCTATCTCTCTCTGGGCTCTGCGGCTCTAGTTTTTTAGGAAGAGTGCTGTGTTTTAACAAGTGTGAGTGTCAAACTCCAATCCCACTGGCTTGGAATGCCTGTTCTGCTGACCTAATCTAGCCCCTTGCATGGTGAGTGTGTTTTGATCAACTGTCGCCGGAGTGCTGGGTTTTCAACATGAGACTAATCCAGGGTGCGGGCGTGCCAGCCTCGGTGGCTCTTGCTTTTGGGTTAATAGAAGGGCAGAGAAGTGTGCTTTAGAATGCTGCATGGCCTGGTGAACGCTGCTGTTCTTCTTACTCTGGTTTTTTTTCCCCTCCCCCGCCTTTTCTACCTTGGTGTCCTGGGATCAGGTCCTGCTAATCTTCCACTTCTTAAGAAAAGCTGACATAGATGACACCCTGGGACTCTAACCGGGCTGGGTCTCCTCTACCACCCCCACTAGACACATGGTAACTAATCCCATTCCCCGTTGCTGTTAATAGTCACCTGTACATACTCAGCTCACGTCCCCTGTTGGCACTAACCGACTAGCTCTGAGCTAACACAACCGCTATTATGGTCTGTCCACAAATATGTCACGTGTCTGTATTAGAAATGTGTTGTCATAGTGTCCCAACAAAATGGGGTGATCAGGTTACATAGAAGTTTATGATCATCTGAGTATATATGTTCATTGCGTAAAATGCCTTCGTGTGTGCGCGTGTGCGTGTGCGTGTGTGTGCGCGCGTGTGCGTGCGTGTGTGTGTGTGTGTGTGTGTGTGTGTGTGGTTTTTATTCCATATGTGAATTGTATTATTAATGATTGAGACCCCTTTGTGTTAGAATATCTGTCAAACCATTTTGGTTTGGGGCAGATAAGCCCCATTTCAGAGAAAGCACAGTTAGCAGAATGCGTTATATGCTTTGGGCTTAGTAATGACACTTTAAATGTGATCCTCCCCAAACTCTTAAGATTTAAAAAAATATATACATCATAAAGGACATAAGCTCTATTGATGACACACCCCTAAGGTGTTACATCCTGGCATTCACTTTCCCCAATTTATTTATGAGCCCAGGCTTGTTAAAGACCCCTGTGCCCCCTGTAAAAGCTCAGCCTGTGTGACATGGCACTCTGGTCTCTGGGTTTGGAGATGGTATTTATTGGTGGAAACTCAATATGGGGAACTAGGGATTGGATAGAATGAGGCGTCAAGACTATGACCCGGGTTGCATCTGTAATTTTTGAAATCCATTCCAAAGATACATTTGATGAGCACAAAAGTGAATTACCATCCAAAAGGTAGAGCTCGCCCCCTTAAACCTTCACCCCAAAGGAGGTGGGGGCAAAAGACAAAGCCCCAAAGGGTAAATCCTAGCCGAACCCCACCCAGCAGACATCGTTACTGTAAATGGGGAAAGGCGTTTCCACCACACCAGTGTCTGCACCTCCCCCAGCAGTGGCTTCATTGACTTGGAAAGATAAGGGTCAGGGATAGCGTGTTGTTTCAAGATATGTGATTGTTTTGACATCCATTGTTTTGTTGTGTTTTGTTTTTTATACATCTGCTGCTTTAGCTTGTCATCACTTGCATTTCTATGTTTTTGTTTCCATTTATTTAAAAAAAAATTGTTTCTTTACATTTGTTCTCCAAATTGCCAACTTATCAGCTGCAGCACATCAGAGAGTGTGTCACCGGTTAAGCAGGCTCCACGGAAGTCCCCCTCCGACACAGAGGGTCTAGTAAAGAGCCTGCCTTCTGCATCTCACCAGGTAACAGCTGACTGCGCTGCAGCTGGGGGCTGCGTCACTTCCCAGGGCACCCGAAGGAATCCTGAGCCATGACAGAGAAAGAGAGCGAGAGGCAGACAGACAGATGGAAACAGACAGACAGAGAGAGGGAGAGGGAATTAAAGAGCTCTTTCAGGAAGACCACACGCAAATATGTGGAGAGGAGTCTGACCTGAGGAACGTTTTCCACCAAACCACCGCTAACAGACTGTTGACTCATAACGTGGCTGCTTTGGCCCACGTGGAATTAGGAGGTGGCTTTGTCAGGTGTATAAGATTCTTCTTTAATCGCGCAGGGAGATAAATCCAGTGAACTGGGTTCCGCCTTGATGTGCTTTATGAGACGAGGCATTAGCAGGGAAAACTTGATTGGGGTGTTGATAATAAAACGAAATCATGTTGTGTGGCTTCTCTAGCAGCGTTTTGCTGAATGATTAGCAGACTGGAGGAACAAGCAGAGGTTTTGGTTCCTACTTTTTGTAGAAAGCACCGAAGGCAAATAACTTTTATTTGGAACTAGCATCATGGTTGATGTTGGTTTTGGCGATGCTGTCATAACTCTCGTTGTGGCATGGCAGAAACTCCGTAGCTCAATGCCATTCTTTTCTTCTGGGGTGGAACGCGTTCTAAGGAATTTGGCCAGTCATAGCTTTGTCCCAAGAAGGTGCTTTGTGGGGGCAGATGGATTTAAGAGGAAGAAAAGAAAAGAACAACAGTGTTTTGTGGAAGAAGTACCCATAGTCGCATTCCAGTTTTTATGTGTGGTGAGGAAACTGGCCCTGTGAGGACGGATTACTAAAAGCATGTAGCCAGGTAGTAACAGCACTGGGGCTAGGACTCGGGTTTCCGGATAGCACATTGTCTGGCACAGCATCAGGCTCACCCCTTATTCCTTTTCTGTCTGTCTGTCTGTCTCTCTCTGTGTTGGTTTCTCTGATTAAATAGTGTACCCTCAGATACCTCAGGTCACTCATTTGGACTGTGAGTGGGAATAGGGTCGTGGCCAAAAACACGAGCGTTGCAGATAGATGTCGCATCGACAGAAGCCGTGGGAGCTTTTTCTTTTGCCCTTGAAGTGCTGTGGGCGTTGCTCATCTGTTGAAAACAAACTAGAAAGATATAAAAGATGGTTGTCGGACATTGGAAATTAGGTTGTGTGTGTAGCACTGTGACCCCTTAGAGACAGGAAACAAACCAGGGGAACCCTGTGATGGCCCCAGTTACTGCTTTGAGGCACTTTCCAGACTGCAGTGCTGGGAGGGGAAACAGACACAGCTCAGTGGTCTCACTGAGGTGAGGAGGCAGAAGGCAGAGAATGGGGAGGCCAAGGCCACTAGGGTTTATGAGGCAGAGAACCAGAGAAGAAACTGCACACAGACAGAAAGAACCACCTGAGAAGCAGGAGTTTGCACCGTGCCTGGAGCTCACACAGTTGGTGTTCCTAAAAGCCGCCGTGGAGAGACCTCTTAATATCCAGGGTATGGGCTGGGGTCCTCAGAATGATCATGCCTTAGGAATGGGGCTAAGTTAGCACCAGGATGTGGAAACTATGGACCCACCCGAACAAAGCTTTCAACGAAAGGAAGCCTTTAAAGACTAAAACTGATCTAAAAGTATTTTAACTGCATGCCAGAACAAAAATCCAACACGCTTTACAAGAATACAACAAAAATCCAGCCCCCAAACAATGTAAAATCCACAATCTCGAGCATCAGTTGAAAATTACTGTGCATAAAAAGAAGCAGGAAAATAAAACACGTAATGAGGAGAAAAATCAATCAGTAGAAACAAACCTGGACGTGACAGAGATGATGGGATTCAAGGACAAGGACTTTAAAACAAGTATTCTAAATCTTATACACAAATGGAAGGATATACAGGAAAGCTTGACATCATGAGGAGAGAACTAGAAATATCAAAAAGGCCAAAATGGAATTTCTAGAAATGGAAAAACAAATTGAATGGCATAAACAACAGATTAGATTCTACAGAAGAAATGATCAGTAAACTTGAAGACACGGCAATAGAAACTATCCAAAATGAAGAGAAAGGCTGGGGAAGTGAACGGACCTGCAGGAGTAAGCCAGTGGACAGTGTCCAGCAACCTGACTGGAGTCTGAGAAGGAATGGAAAGAGGGGAGTGAGAAAAGAAATTTAAAGAACTAACCGCCAAACACTTTTCCATTCTTTTAGCCATTTCTTCTGGTATTGATCTTCATATTTCTAAATAGTTTTATTATATTGCCACTTCTAGATTTTTCAGTTTTAGATATTATTTATTGACTCCATATTAGGGAAATGAGAATTTCTTTTCTCCCCCCAGTCCTTCTTCCCAACACACGGATACATATACATATACGCAGACATGCCTCTTTCCAGTATGGTTAGCTCACTGTACTCGGGTAGTTATTTTTCAACCTTGTGTGACCCTGTTTTGTTTTGTTTTTAACCATTGTACCACACACATTTGCTTTCTTGTACAGTTTTCTTGTTTTTGTGGCACCAATGTTTGCCTTGTTTTTTATTTGCTTGGTGTTCTGAGTACGTATTTGTATACCATTTCAAAACTCGCCACTTAAAACCTCTGAACACTCAGACATGTTATGTCTTCTGTTGGTTCCGTACCTGTTAGCATCTTCTGGCTCTGTCGTGCTTTAGGCTGCTGGGTAGCAATCATCTTGGGCGTGCCCTCCCAAGGAATTTTCTTTCCCCCTCTTCTTTTAGACCTCAAGTTCTCACCTTTTTAGTTCACTCCCATATCGTAGTGGAACGTGTCTTCCATGACTTCTCGAGAATGGATGCACCGGAGATAAAAATTTTGAGGCTTTGTATGATAGGCAGAATAATGACCTCCAGAGGGGTCCACATCCTGGTCCCTGGGACCCGTGAGATACGTTACCTTACCTGTGGAAAGGGTCTTTGTAGCTGTGTTCAGGATGCCGAGATGGGGATATTTTCCTGGCTTATCCACGTGGGCCCAGTGAAATCATAGGGTCCTTGTAAGAGGGGGGCAGAAGGGCCAGAATCAGAGAGACATTTAAAGATGCTATGCGCTGGCTTTGAAGGTGATGGAGGCAGAGATCACGAGCCAAGGAATGCAGGCGGCTTCCGTAGCTGGAAAGGCAAGGGAAAGGGTGCAGTTTCTCCCTGGAGCCCCCAGAAGGAACGCAGCCCTGCTGACTGACTTTAGTCCAGGGAGACCCATTTCAGACCTCTGACCTCCAACACTGTAAGAGAATACATTTGTTTTGAGCCTGTCTAAAATTGTTTTTATTCTCCTCCCCCAAGCTTGATTGATAATCTGGGTGGGTAGGATTCCAGGTTGGAAATCATTTTTCTTCAGCATTTTTAGGCATTGCTGACTTTTCTAGCTTCCAGCGCTAAGTAGATACTGATTCCTGCGCCTTTGTGTGGGACCGGTTTTGTTCCCCTTTCTTAGAATGGTTTTTATTCCTTGTGTTCTGAAATTTCATAAAATTGTGGGTCTTGTTTTTATTCATTGTGCTGGCTACTCAGTGGGTTCTTTCAATCTGAAAACTATGTCCTTCAGTTTTAGGGTATTTTCTTCCATTATTCTTTGGACATTTTCCTCCTATCATTTTCTGTTCACTGTCTTGGAAATTCCCATTAGGAATTGGACCATCTCATGCATCAATCCTTTAGTTGTCTTTTTTTTTTCTTTTTTTTTTTTTCTGTTTTGCAGGTTTTGTTCTGCTTTCTAGAAAATTTTTGCAACTTTTTCTTCCAACTTTTATTGAGTATTTAATTTCTGCTGTCTTTTTTTTTTTTTAAGACCTGTTTCTTATTTTCAGATTATGATATACTAGCCTTGTTTTCATGGATGCATTGCCGTATCTTTGAGCATATCACTTTTTCTCCTGTTTTGTATTTTCTTTTTTAATGTTTTCTTCTGTTACTTGATTTTACTGTTTCTTTTCAATTCCCTTTTTTTCTCTTATAATTTCTGTCTTTCTGTCTTAGAAGCTTCCCTCAAATGACCATCGCCCCTCGCTTGTCCTTTTACATTTAAGGCACTCAAATGTGATTGGAAACTCTTTGTGTAGAGAGGTTACTGGGTAGTGGGTTTCACTGCCTGTATAAAGTGCCGGCTGGTTTTCACTGGGGCATCTCTAAATGTCAGTTGCTGAGGGTCTTGTCTCTTGGGTTGGTTGATTTCTCCAGAAAGAAATCCTTTGGTTTCCTGCTTGGAAGTCGAGCAGAAGAGAGAGGAGGGTTCACTGTTCAGTAAGTGGGACTTTTCAGGGCTGACACCTTACCCTGCTGGCTCTGAGTCAGAAACTGGCTCATCTCTCCTCAGAGTAAACCCCCAGGGTCCCGCCCAGGCCTGACTGTGTGGCATTTTCTGGACATTGGTGAGAAGTAATTCAATCATTATGTCAATTTTATTGTCCTTTTTCAGCTTTTGAATATAACACCAGATTAGCGTGGAGATGTAGAAAGTTACATAACTTAATTTCAGGGTCTGTCCTATTCCTGGAAGTAACTGTAACCAGGGGTCAGTTAACACACTGTGGACGGGTGACACAGATTTGCATCTATACATTTAAGTGTCCCGTCCTCAATGTGTTAACTTACTAGAGAACACTTTGTTTTCATTCTGTCCTTAGTACAGTCGACCCTTGAAGAACTAGGGGGTTAGGGGCGCTGACACTGTGCAGTCGAAAATCCAGGTATAACTTTTGACTCCCCTGGGAACTTAATTCCTAATAGCCTACTGTATATTATTGTGTATATTTTATGGTAGTAAATAATACAATAGACTACTGTCTGCACATATTTTTATGCATTCATGACAGAGCTAACTTTTTATTTTTTTCTATATTTCTAGGCTGCACAGTTCATCTGTGAGTTTTTACAAATTGTCACACATCTCCAAAAAGTTTTCCAATATATTTATTGACTAAAATCCTCATATAAGTGGACCCATGCAGTTCAAACCTGTGTTGTTCAAGGGTCAACTGTAGTAGAAAATGTTTTGTTTTGTTTTTTAACTTCTTTTCCTTTTAGATTTCTGTTTAACTTGCAGCTTTCTGAAATGAACACAGAGGGCCTCTGTTTGATCCAATACTAACGTTGTGACCTGTTCTGTTCTGTGACAGACACAAGAGCATCACAGACAGACAAACACTGAGTGTGGCTACCTGGTCTTTTGATCAGTTACCTGTATTTTAAGGTGTATTAGTATAGAAAGACGTTCATGATAATCACGGCTAGTGTACATTCAGTGCTACCTGTCACACACTGCTTTAGTAACTGCTGTTTTGGAGACAAAGAGGCTAATGCTTAGCGGGTTACAACTAGGCCTGAGGCCACAGGGCTGGTGCCCCCCAGCACCACCATGCTCCGGAGACTATCTCATGAATGCAGACTGGAGGGGCCAGCATTCAGATGGGTGCAGCCTGGGGGTTATTTTTATCATGCCATCCTGAGACATCCATGGGAAAGCCCTTACGGCTGGACTCGTCCCCTCTGCAGAAGCTGAGGTGCCTGAATGCCACAGGACCCTGCCTCACACACTCAAGGATGCAGGCTGTGGGGCTCCTGGGTGGGATACGCATGTGTGTTTTAAACCACGTGCTTTTGCCTACTGCATTTACGATTCCAAAGTTGAAAAGTAAGCACCATATTAGACTTCTCAAGGAGACTGGCCCTGGGTTGGGAGAAGAGTTGGCTTTGGGCAGTCTGGCACGTCTCTTCTAAAACTGGGGCTATGTTGTGTTTCTTGTTGCTGTTGACAGTTTTAGAGTCTCTGGGTTGGAAGGGACTGTGAGGCCGTGTTGTACAAGCACCTGTCTGAAGTTTGCACCCCGAGCTCTGCTCAGAGGACTCGCCCTGCCCCCAGACAGACACTCGTCCCTTGGCTGTCGTGGCTGTGACCTTGACAGCTCTCTTCCTTATCTCTTCTACCTTAGTCCACCTGGGGTTTCTCTTTATATAGCTGGAGATCATGTTCTTTTGGGTTTTTTTTTTATTTTAAAACAGGGAAAACAGTTACCTGATCTTGGAAATCCAAGAAGCAATATTTTTATTAGTTATGATAGGATCAGACTAAAAGAATTCTAAGTAAGTATGTGGAAGAATATTTTAAATCTTTCTAGGTACCTGTGTGTGAAGTGACCAGTTCAAATTGATTGTGTCTTTGGGTGCCACCAAATATGTTGGTTTCTTATAGTGGGTCTCAGGTGGGTCGACGTCCCACCTTAGTCCTTAAGACTGTGACCCCAATCACAAGGGTTGAGGAATTCTGTGACAGGTATCAAGATAAGGATACTTCCTGAGAAGGAATATTGTATTGTTATAGAAGTTCCCAAACAGATACAAACGTAGACAGAATAACGTCACAAATCTCCACGTACCGACCTTAACAATCACCAGCATATACCAGTCTTGTTTTAAAGTCAGTTCTGGACATACTCCTAAGAAGTCTTGCTGAAGGCATTCTAAACGGAACTCTTGGCCCCAGAATCCGAATGCTCTCACTTTAATTAATGCCTCTACCCCTGCACCTGAAGCGACCCTCAGTTGTTCCAAACCACTAATTCGATTTCTTTTCTCCAGGGCCCAGTCATATATGCGCAATTAGACCACTCTGGAGGACACCACAGCGACAAGATTAACAAGTCCGAGTCTGTGGTGTATGCAGACATCCGGAAAAACTAAGAGAAGACCTGGAGCCTATGCCCTATGCCAGGCAATAAACAAATTCAAACTGGACTCTCGTGCAGAAGCGGAGCCCATAACCACGCATGGCCTTGGAGACCTGGGCACAGTGTTTATTCCTAGAGGAGAGAGATGTGTATAAAGGATGTGTATAAATATTCTATTTAATCTTTGGATGTGAGAAGCCAGTGTTGCATGATGAAAAGGCGGTATGATTCTACATATATATGAATTGTCTTGCTGTTTGGTACTTGTGTTCAGCGTCACTTACAGTTGGGAAAATTCAGCACCATTCCTATCCCCATCGTTTAGACATGGTTTGCCTTAATTGCGACGGTAGCAGATCTTTTAGTGTTCCTGCAGACATGGCCTTTCTCTCTAAGGGCTTAACCAGTCTTAGCGTTTAGCATTTAGCAGGAAGGTGGAGGAGATTCTACAATGGGAACATAGCCACCCTGTCAGCACCGCCTGTTTGGCTGCAGCTTTCAGAAAACATCCATTAGCTCTGCCACGTGGAGACCACGTGAGAAGCTTTTGTTGATGCTTTTCTCTCTAAAACACAGGGCGGTGTTTTGCTTCGTATGTGGTGCAGACTGACTTCAACGCTGCACCCTTTATCATATCAGCTTGTGGGTTCATCCTAGCAAGGTTAGTGCAGGTTACAGGCCAGAGGTCACTTCTTTCTAGGTACTTCTAGGTCAATACCATAATTGAAGTAGAAAACTCAGGCCTTGCTTGAGACTGTACCATTTGGCGAGGAAAAGGTGTCCGTGATATTCTTTGCCGAAATCCTTCTCCGTGCAGCCAAAGGAGAGGGCTCCATTTCCTGCCAAGTGGGCAGAAGCGGGGTCACTCGGCAGCCAGCCTGCAGCATCCCAGAGCTCTGGAGAACCCCGTTCTCTGAAGCTTCAGCTGTGCTGCCCGCGGGAGGCGGCCTCGGTCGTGGCTTCATGGAGCCTCAAGGACCTCTGAGCTGCAAGACCGCCCAGTTGTGTAACTCAGCGAGTAGGGCCAGTACTTCTACTTTGGGAGTCTCTTCTCTGTTCCTGTTTGGGTTTGGGGTGCTTGCTTCTTTTCCATGTCCCCCGCCCCCACCCCACCCCTGCATTGACGGAATTGACTCACAACGAGATGGTGGAAGATCTAGACAATTTGGGTATCCTGCCGGTAATGCATTTTCTCCTATTGACTCCCCACCACCCCATCTCAGACCTATGATGAAGATCGTTAAACACTTGTGTTTGTTATGCCTCCATTTCCTGGGTTATTTTGTTTGAAAAGAATTTTTTTTCATTTAAAATGATCTGGAAGCCCAGTCACTGACTCGATGGCCGCAGAACAGGTGTGGGTGAGCGGGAGTGACAGGCAGTGTCAGTCTGTCTCCCCTTCAGTTTGAGGTCCACTGTGAGCAGCTTCCGTGTCATCTTTGGTGGGGGGCTTTGAAGGCTGAGTTCTAAGAGAATTCATAAGGGAATAAAGCAGGATTTGATTTAAAGGTGTCATGAGGTGATAAAATAGAGGAAGGGCATGTGCGCTTCAACACTTGGCTCCCCCAGACGACGTGTGGTCTTTTATTTTCTGAGGCACTGTTGGTTGTTCCTCCCATAATGCTCTGGCGGCCACTCCACTGACATGAATGCAGACAGGGCATGGGTTTTGTAACCACACACGCCGACCATTTCCAGAAGCTGGGGCGTGTGGGGTCTGCGTTCTGTGTGGCCCGGAGGAACTGGGCCAGCTCTGGGCCCCTCACTGTCTGGGGCCCTTGGGCCCCACGTAGGCGAGGGACGCAGAGCCCCAGCCCCGCATACAGACTTGCCCACAGAGTGGCCCACTTTGCCTCCTAAAACCTTCCTGCGTGCGTTTTCAAAACGACAGGAGCCCTTAGAAGACCTCCTGTGGGTGCTGGGGAGGGCAGGGCAGGCTGTTGGGCTGTCACCCTTCTCTAAACTGAAGCCAAGGCAGCAAGCAGCGCTCTTGGGGAGCTTTTGCCACGGAGATTGCACGGCTGGCGGAGGCCGTTTTTAAGGTAGAAAGGACACATGTCGAACGAGCAGGTGTGTTCCGTCATATGTGTCGTGGTTCCTTCCAGGCATGTTTTTTACAGAGAAAAGGGGGCATTCTCCTTTCTCAACAGCTGCTGTGAATAAACTACATTCCCAGTGCCTTCTGTTAGCAAGAGCCCTAATTTCTTCTTTCGTTGCAAGGACTGAGAGCTGCCACCCAGAGCACCGCCAGCACTCCCTCTGATGACACCTATGGCCTTTGTCCCCTCGGCTCCCCCATGCCACCTCCCCACACAACCAGACCCAGACCCTCTGACTCTGTCAGCACGCTGCTTTCTGCAGGAACCTCCTCCCCGCCCCTCCCCGACCTCCCACCCGTCCAGGGCTGTCACCAGCCTCCCTCCTGGGTCTGGGACAGGCTGTGAGGGAAGCCACTCGCACTCGCACTCAGCCGGGGCTTCCTCACCCCTCGCCACCGCCGGTGGGTCTTTGGCCCTTTCTCCTTTGGCCCCGTGTCCCTGTCCCTGGAAGCTTCTCGATGGAAGAGCTGCCCTTTCCATGCCTTAGCGACAGAAGGAGGCCTTTAAATTACACGCGGTTTCTGTGAGGCGGCACCTGCAAGGGGTTACTTAAGAGATCAAATTCCAAACTATCTGCAGCTTTTCAATGGCCATGTATCCAGCTAGGGGAAAACCATCAGGTTCATTAGTTTTCGTTTCCTTTTTCAATTGTACTTTTGTTAAGTGTTTTAATACATCTTTTTCAATTACTGACTTGTGTGGTGTGCTCATTTTCAATCAAGTAGAAAAGAGTTAATAGCCTTTTTTTCCTTCATCCCACTGCAGCCCGGCAGCCTCCTGGTTCCCAGAAGCACAAAGCATGTGCCCACCTCAGGCTATGCCGGCCCCTCTGCCTAGAACACACATTCTGCACATATTTGTCCCTCACATCCTTTACATCTCTGCCCAAATGTCACCTCAGAGAGGCCTTGGCGATACGTACAAGGGCAACCTCAGCCCCGCCCAGCTCTCCCTGCACCCTCAGTCCTGCTCCGTTTTCGTCCTGGCTCACTGTCCACGGCGCAGGTCTGTTTTCCCTGCTAGAACATAAGCACCGAGAGGCCTGGACTTTGCTCATTGTTCACTGCCCTGTCCCTTGTGTGTAGAATAGTACCTGGCACTTGGCAGGTGCTCGGTAAATGTGGCCCGGGCGGATGGACTTATCCATTCAACTGATCTGTACTGAGAAGTGTCCTGTGCCAGGCACTGCTAAGCTTAAGAAAACAAAATGAACAAGACACACGGAGCATGCCGCAAGGTGGGGGTGACAGAAGGTGACGTAGCAGTAGTAACTGACAGCGACTGAATGCTTGTGTGCCGGGTGGGCACTTGCACTTCGTACTCTGCACACACTGTGAGTTAACACTCGTTCTGATCTCAACCCCATTGTCAGAAAGACAGCGTCAGGCTTTGGGCATGTGACTCGCCCAAGGTCACTCAGCGAATGTCCAGAGAGGCCAGGCTGGCACCAGCGCTGTTGGACCCAAGGCCTTGTTCTTATCATCAGCAAAGAGACCTAAGTGCTTCCTCAAACAAAGGTGCTGTGTGCCTGAAATGCACTTTCTCCCTGGGCCTCAGGAGCCAGGTAGGGTGAGGTGAGGGAGGTGGCTGTGCAGGGGGCAGAGACACAGACGCCCGGGGGGCCCCTGAAGCTCAGGTTGGAAGACACTAAGGTGACAATCTGTTGCGAGCTGTCACCACGCCTTATTAATAAAGCATTGAGGTTTTCCAGTGATTTGCTAATTTTATAAATTGCCATGGATTCACACCCCGCTTCTGGCTTGCATAATTTTATGCTTTCTTGAGTAGGAGAGAGAGTTACCGCTGCCCGGGCCTTCAGGGGGAGTGGGTCTCATCCATCCCAGGGATTTGGCAAGACAGCAGAGATGTGGGTCCATCCCCCGTCCACCACCCCCCTCCACCCGCATACAAGGACAGCAATCATGGGATCTGTGGGTTCTCAGCTCTACGGTTCCTCCCAAGTTAGAGCTATGTACTGGGGAAGTTCCTCCTGCCGCTGGGGCTCTGGTTCCCAAACTGCAGGGGGAACGTGCCAACCAAAAAGCGCTATTTCTGAGGGCGGCTGTAGCTCCGAGTGAGCTGGCCCAGCACCGTGCAAGAGGAAACCTCAGCTACTCCTACCCCTTAAAGCCGCAGGCCTCCCAGCTCTCTGGGGGGCTCCAGTGCTAACTGCATTGAAGAACCAATGATTTAATCCTCCCAAAACGGAAAGCAGCATTGGCAGGGTTTAGAGGTGGTGTTAGGGACTGACCATCGGCGAGTCCCCACCCCCCCTTCTCCCCTACACACGCTCTTTGGTCCTGTATATTCCAGATTTGTGGTTATGAAGGATTTTAAACATGCATGAGAAGAGAGAATAGTAAAAATCAACCTCCACACACCCATCCTCAGTGACTTCATCCATCCCTTTTTTTCTTTTTCCTCGTTTTCTGAATTCTTTTAAAACAAACCCTCAAGCCGTTCAGTGCACCCCTACATTCTTTGGTATGCATCTTTAAAAACGATGGGCATTTTCTTCCATAAGGGTATAACGTCTTGTGCCATTTAACAGAAACGTTTTTGAAAATACCGAGTTTTTTTTATTTCATCTACTACCCCGTTCATACGCAAATGTCCCCTTGTCTCAAAAAAAATGGCATTTTACAAAAATGGCTGCTGCAAATCAGGAGTGCAACACGGTTCCAATAAAGCTGTCTTGGGTGTTTTAAAAACAAAAAACGGGATGGTGGTGTTTTGAGCTTTGCTTCTCCGCTTTGCATCCAGCCAGCGACCCACAGAACAGGGCCCATTAACCCTTTCAGGGCCTTCCCTTGTGTAGATGCGCCATAACATTCTAAATCATTTCTGAGTATTCAGGTTGTTCCCAGTTTGTCTATCACAAGTGATGCTGCAATTGTCATCTGTCCTTATGAACTCTTAAAGAAACAAACAAACCAAAAAAAGCCAAAAGCAAATCATTTGCAGCTGCCGGAAAGACAGCCCAGGATGGGACCTGCCTCCTGGCCCCTTGGAAATGGGGCTCTAATGTCTGGGGGCGGTGACAGCAGCCGTCAAAGCCATGTCCGCTGCTCACATCCTTCCTAAAGCCACCGTCATTATCACCGGGAACCGGCAGAAGAGCCGCTGCTCTCGAGTCAGACTGGGTGGGTCTTGGGGTGTAAGAAAAGCAACTGGGGGCTGGAGGAGAAGGGAGTTCTAGCACCTGCTGGAGGCCCGGCTGTGTTTACAAGGAAGGAAACCCAAATCTTTCAAGCTCGGGGAGTCCCCGGGGAGCTGCTGCTTCCAGCTTCCATTTCCTCCTCCAAACAGGATGTGAAACCATTGTCCTGTCTTGGCCCAGGGTTGCGATGTGATTGGTCGTTCATGCCTGCATTGTGGGCCTGTGGAGCTGGCCTTTAGGGTTCGAGAATATGAGGAAGGAAGGGTGATCGCCCCACATCTGGGAAGAGGAAGTCTGGGAAGTTGAGCATTCTCACACTGGCTGCAGCCCGGCCCCAGGTGCTGTAGGGCTGAGGCATTCTGGTTTCTAAGCCCCTCGGGGCATTAAGTACCTTCGGTGGTCTGTGCTTGGCCCGCTGCGCTGCTGGCTGTGGGTGTGGGCGACTCAGCGATGGAAGGCCGGCTGGCGTAGGGCCTGAGGCGTCCCTTCCCAATAGGGAAGGACGCCAAGGACACCGAGTTTTGAATCTAGAGCCATTCTCAGTGCTTGCTCTGGCTTTGAATAGAGTTATATTATTATTATTATTATTATTATTATTATTATTATAAATCAGAGTTTCTTTCAATTAGATTAAAAAGAAACATAAAATCAAAATTTATTTTGCAGTGAATCTCTTAGAATGTATATCGTACCCAGAGGAATGCGGAACATTTTGCAAAACCCTGTCCTTGCTCTTGCTGACCCAGCAGAAGCCCAGATGGTTTGCTCCTAACTGCCTGGAGGTGCCTATCTCAGTAAAGCCCAGTTTCTTTTGTTGGTTTGTTTTTTCCATGTAATCCATCGCTGAAGGACGTTGCTCTGGCAGAGGGGGAAACATTGCTGAGAAGCTTCCTGGAGGATCTTGGTCTCAAAGTAAAACCTCCGTGGAACACACAGGTGCGGGCAGCCAGCAGGTGCCATCCTGTTTTGGGTCCTTTAGCCGAGGGAGCTGAGCCCAGTTCCTGGATTAAAGGCTAAGAAACGGGTGTCCCTCTGACACAGGGCACCTCAGGACACGCCAGGGTCCGGGAGAGAAGGCTGAGCTAATGAGTTAATGTTGACTCACTGAGGTTGAGCAAGAGAGGGGAAAAGCCCAAGGGAGAGAGGTGAAGTAACTTCGGAGCAGAACCAGCACTTGGCTGGAAATGGCTGGCTTCCGTCCATATCCTCTCTAAAACATCCCACAGGAGAAAGTGGAAGGCGTGGGTCCCTGCTGTAAAGTTTATGTCTATTTCAATTCCTTTCAAGCGTTTAGATGATTCCAGGCCTCCTCCCTGTAAGCAAGGGTGCGTTCAAGTCACGGCAAAATGCAGTCCGTTTCCGTGGAGGCGAAGGGCTGCCAGGAAGGAGGACAGAAAATGAAGCCGCCCAGCCGACGCGTGATGGAGCACTAGATTAACACCAAATTTATTATTAAGCACTAGTTAGGCATCCTGGAGTCACGTTAGTTGGAGAAATACACATTTAGAAGCAGTTTAACCTATCCAGCCTGATACGTTTTCTCTTATATAGTACTACCACCCCTCTGCTCCAAGCCCACTCTCCTCCGCTATAGAAATGTCCCCATTCAACCTTCAGCATTTTAAGGAGCTCGGCATTTTAAGGTTACTGCAGTCATCGCACTGTCCTGTATGGCAGCCACTGGCCACATGTAGCCATTAAAATTTAATTTAAATCAAATTTAAAATTCAGATCCTCCTTTCACGTGCTCAGTAATAGCATTGGACTGTGCAGAGAGGGAATGTGCCCTTTGTCACAGGAGGTTCTTGAGGACAGCGCTGGTGTAGGCCAGGCAGGAGCCAGGCACACATGCTCACACTCACACACACACACATACACACACATACACACACACACGCTCACACACACACGCGTGCACACACTCACACACATGCACACACACGCTCACACACACACTCACACACACGCGCGCACACACACTCACACACACTCACACACGCGCACACACACTCACACACGTTCACACACACATGCACACACATGCACACACACTCACACGCTCACACATGCTCACACACGCGCACACACACTTACACACACTCACACACGCGCACACACACTCACACACACGTTCACACACACTTACACACACACTCACACGCTCACACATGCTCACACACGCGCACGCACACACTTACACACACGCACACACACTCACACACGCTCACACACACACACACGCTCACACATGCACACACATACACACACACGCTCACGCACACGCTTACACACACGCTCACACACACACACGCTCACACACACGCTCCCACACCCCTTTTTTCTCTGACTAAGGAGGTGGGTGGGTGGGGATGGAGGTACACCTCACAAGGGCAGCCCCCGCTGACTGCCACTTCCTGGTGGGTATAGAACACATACTTTGTCCCTCATGTGTGTCCCACACACTGTGGAGGTCTGGGATGCACCTGTGGACCAGCCAGCATGCTGAGGGCCCCCTAATGCTTCACCCTGTGCCTCGTGCTGGGGACACCAAGCTGAGGGGGCAGAGCCCGCGCCCCTGAGGAGCTCAGACAGAAGACAGCCCCAAACAAACAGTGCCAGGCAGCCCTGCGAGAGCAGCTGGGAAGACGAAGGGCACACAGCTGGGGAAGACCCACCCGTGGCATTCAGCGGGGAGGTGCCTTGGGGCGAAGCATCTGAAAGCTGGCTGGGAGAAGCCCAAAGCCTCTGGTGAAGGCCCTTCCAGTCCGAGGGACCAGCCCAAAGGCCTAGAGTGGGAGGGAGTGAGGCCAGGGTGGCTGCAGCCTGGGCTTGGCGGGGAGCCAGGCCCTTAAAGGCGCACGTTTCAGGCTAGGAAACGGGGATGTCCTGAAGGCGAATAGGATTTTACCCTGAGGGGTAAGAAATGGGGTCTGCATTTTAGCAAGCTGGCCCTGCCAATTGGTGGAGGCTGGAAATCTGATTTCGAGGGGCGGGTTAATGATGCGGTGACTGCAGCGCCCAGTCAGAGATGCAGGAAGCGGGTTTTCAGCAGCAGGGATCTGAGGGGCAACAGGAAGAACCTGAAAGGGCGCTGGCAGAAAACAATGACAGCTTGGGGGGCTGAAGACACGAGAGTCACGATGAACGGTGGGTGACGGTATCATTCCCAGCGATGGGAAACTGGGCTGTGCGGAGGTGATCCTGGGGGAGGTGGGGTTGAAAGACTGGGGTCTGGGTGGCAGAGGGAAGGGGGTGTGACGATGACCATCCGTTTACCGAGGAATGGCAGCTATGCACGTGCTTGAAACGTCTCCGTCTTTCGTTGACTGGGCCTCGCTCTACGTGTCTGTTACCTTGGAGCATTCTTGACAAGCCGGTCTACGATTTCGGCATGTTCTACCTCCTCCCCTATCTTTCCAATCAAAGCCCTTATCTGTCCCCACTGCCCTTTCTTGATTGCAGCCTTCCTAGTTCCCAGCTTGCAACAGCAACCGTCTCCCAGCCTTCATGTCGGCCTGGCCCTCTTCCAATCCACTTTCCACAAAGGGGCGGCTTTCTAAAAGTGAAACGCGGCCCATGCCCTTCCTCAGGAAAGTCACTCAGCGACTCCTACATGGCTGGCAGGCCAAGGTCCCGACCCCAAAGCCACCTGGCCCACAAGGCCTCTAGTGACCACCCACGTCATCGCTCACACATCCCCCTCGCTCAGTAGCACCCCATCCAGGCCAAATGTGAAGACCCAGGCTCACTGCGGCCTCCAAAACGTCCCCACCACTGACTACTACAAACCAGCCTGGGAAGTCTTCACCTGGCTGTGTCCTAGCCCTCTTCCAGAAAGCTTTCTAGAAACTTCTAAAGCCACGTTAAGGTGCATGCCTCTGCACTTTCTTCTCCAGCAGTCCCCTTTATAGCTCTGTATTTTCATTGCCTATTTGTTCCCTCAGCAGAATTATGAGTGCTTTACCTGTAGTAACTCATAGGAACCTTATGAGGTAGATGCCATTATCATTCCCACGTTACAAACAAGGAAACCGAGACACAAAGAGGTTAAATAACTTGCCCAAGGACACAAATCTAGCAGCTGTCAATCCGGTGAGGTCCCGGGCCCACATCTGCAACCACTACGCAGACTTTCTTATTCCCTGGTGTAACCCTAGTACAGAGCCTGGCCACCACAGTTGGTGTTAGGAATTTTTGCTGATCTCCATGAGAGTCCATAGCGTTTACTCATTCAATAAATATTATGTTCCTACATCTAAGGGTTCCTGTAAGAATTGACTTGAGGTGAGCAAAGGAAGATTTGAATGCATTCATCACACAAACACTTTCTGAGCACTTGCTCGGCGCACTGCGGCAGAGAGAGAATGAGGACAGAGCCTGTGGCCTCTAGGCGTTCATAGACTTGTGGCGGAGAAGTTCAAAGGCTCGTGTTGAAGAAGAAAAGGAAAACAAGGTAAGAGCAGCACTCCTCCATTCCTCTCTGATCCTCAAGCCTTCACGGAATATCTGCCTTCTCCTAAAGAGGATTCTAGCCGGAACCTACTCTGTCAAGGGATGTTCCTGAGACCCTTACGCTGGAAGCTTCCTGTAGGAGCGAGGGGTGCGGCTGTGGAAGCTGACGTGGTTTGAGGGGCTCAGCGCCGAGGCTGCGGGTCTGAAGACAGGAGCTTGGAGAATTGGACCGCAAACCCCTCCTTGGGCGGCGGCCGTAGCAAAGAGCCGGTGCTGCCACCTGCTGGCCAGAGAGAGGACGCACCCGCCGCCGCCCACTGGTGGGAGAGGGAACCGCAGCCCCATGGGGAGGGGAGGGACCTTGTCACAACCTGTTTCGTTTGGACAGGAGGAAACTGACAAAGCATAGTCAGGGCCAGAAACCAAGTTCAGGTTCCTGTGAGGCCTCATGCACGCTCCTCTGGGTTCAGACACGTGGGAGGTAAAATCTAAACTGCAGTCCAGCCTTCCCCCACCTCTTCCTCTGTCCCGTCTCTCATCAGTCCTTGGGAACCACAGCACTGCGCTCCCAGTAACGGCCGGCCCTCTCCAGTTTCCTCCTCCAGCCTTGCCCAGTCTTGCTTTGCCTTCATCAGAAGCCAGTCAAATACAGTGAAAGAAGTTTTTGACATTTTGGAGGAGGAAGGACTGTAGGTGCCCCCACCCCCTCACCCCACCCCCACCCCCAGCTTCTCACTGGAGGACCTCATCTCCTGGGGTGCTAGCACTGAAATACAGAGGTTCGGAATCAAGTCTGCCTGTGCAGAGCTCGTGCTAGAACCTCACGCTCTGATTCCCTAGTATGTGAGGCTCTTCCCACGCGGCCAGGGCCCCGGGCCTCTGTGGCTAAGCTCGCGGTACCAACTGGGATGTCCAGTCTCCGTTGTGGAACTCAGTTATGTTACCAGGAGGAAAAATACACAGCTCTGCCTTCCCCAGAAGGACAATGGAATCCTGGCCTGTGAAAGGGACGCCTGTATGGGCACCACCTGTGGAAATCACTAGAGGACACGTTGATGCCCATCAGACGAACCCCCTTCCAGGATCAGAATGGGACTACGATCAACAAATGGAAATCCAGGGGCACCTGCTGGAGGCAGCCACCTGGGTCCATGACACGAGGAAGCTGCAACAACGCAGAGATGGGCTGAATTGACACATATTGCACTTGACCCTCAGGGGCACAAAATGCCCATAAGAAGTATTCTCTCTGCCAACAGAGACAGTGATGGCAGGTGGCTCTGGGGCAGCTTCTCCGATATCTGGGAAACCAATGCCACCACTTTCTTAAAGATAAAAATACATAAACTCCAGGCATGTCGGAGATACCAACATCAAAATTACTAATATTTCGATTTTTAACCCTTTCACTCCCACAGGTATTTGATGCACGCAGTTAGCAGTCGGCACTACAAAAAGTGTGTCTTTTCAACTCTTGCCCTTCCAGAGCATGATGAGAATTTGCTATTTGCAACCCTATGCTACATACAAAAGATTGAACAGCCGGACATTTAAAAAATAAACATGTTCAGTTTAATAGGTTAACTAGAAATGTATGTTGCGACATGTCCCATTTTGATATTGGTATTTTCCCTCATGATACAATTTTGCAATGGTGTTAAACTCAGCAGGTCAAGCCAGAACCACACGAAAGGCCAAGGCGGCTTGTGGGAAGCTGCGAGATAGGAACGCACAACGCTGCCGGCCCTTGCGGACCCTCCGGAAAGAGAAGAAACCAACACTCGTGGTTCTGTGTCTGAACCCGGAGGGTGCTGGCTACAGAGAAAGGTTAAGAGTGGAGGACCACATGGGAATGAGACTTAGGAAAGTCTTCGTTTTCTTTCAGGCAGCGTTAGAAAGGGTTGTCCAGGATATTCACTCTCATCAGGAATTTGTTCATTTGAATATCCTGCAAGTTTACCCTTCTGGACACAACTTGTTCCCATGACGGGAGCTTCAGGACTGTCTGCCGCCAGTCCTTGGTCAGCTCGGAGCTTGAATACCACCATTCCTGAGAGGGCCAACGAGAGCACAGGCGCTGTCAGCGCTCCTTGGCCGGTGCGAGCCACACCAGCCCCATATCAGGAGCAGCTCTTCAAACCACGTGAACCCACAGATAATGAATTTGGCTGCCCAAACTAGGGTACTGACACATGACTCTGTAAATAACACATAGACGTGTATATGCGTTCACTTATTCAACAAATCCTGAGCGTCGGGCGCTGTGCTAGGGATCAACCGTGGGTTTTGCCTTCTAAGAGGGGAGGAAAGGCCTTTCCATGAATGTAACACAGACTGTAAAGTGGTAAGAGGCAGAGAGCTTGCTAAAGCGGACTGGGAGGGGGGGAGGCCCCACGAGAACTCAGGGGGGAAGAGGAGGTGCACGGAGCTGAACTATGGACGTGTCACCCCTCCCAGCGGGAGTCCGGAAGGCCAGTGGAGGCCTCAGCAGGCGGGGGCTCCCAGGGCTTCCTCGGGAGGGTGAGCACCCCCCGCCCAGCCTGCTAGCTGGTGGTCCTTACCTTATTCATGTTAAGCCAGCATTTCTCCAGCATGTTCCCCTGGGTCTCCGAGAGCTGTAAGGCCGTGTCCAGGAAGAGGTCACAGTTCTGCCCATCGCCCATGAGGATGCAGATATAGGCCATCAGGTGGTAGAGCCGCGGGTGGAAGACAGTGCCAGTGGCACTCTGAGCCACCAGGGTCTCCAGGGTCTGAAGAGAAAACAGCACCTTCGGGTCAGAAAGGGGTCCTTGACTGCAGTTTTTCCTTTGCCGGTGATTTGGGGACATTTCAAGGATACAAACAATCAAGTGAAAAGTATATTACGGAGACATACATGAGAAAGAGTAGAGATAAGACCAAGAATGTGATATAGATGGGCTCATTAACCCTTTTCTGCAACCACTTGAAAAACAAAATACATTTTCTTTTTATTAGCAAAGCAATATAACTGGATTGTTCAAAATTTAGGGAAAAAAGTGAAAATAACAACAAAAGATATAAGAATCACCCATAACCCTGATACCTAGAAAGAAATATTTTTAAACATTTGGGTACATGTTTTCCCGCCTCTTAATTTCTCTGCCTATTGCGCTCTCTCTCTCTGTCTCTCTGTCTCTGTCTCTGTCTCTCTCTCTCTCTCTCTCTGTCTCTCTCTCTCTCTCTCACACACACACACACACACACACACACACGCACGCACACACACACACCCCACACAGCTGGGGTCATACTAATCATACGATGATTTTCCCACTTAGCATCAGGTGACGAAGGACAGGATTCGTTTACATCAGGGCTCACAATTCAAATGCTGACAGCAGCCAGGCAAGTAACACAGATCAACAGGCGGGGTACAGCCTGAGCAGCACCGGAGAGCATGCCCCAGTGGAGACAATGTGCCCTCAGCGTCACCCCTGGTCAACTCTAGCCAATAGCTGCCCTTTGGCACGAGGGCCTCGTGTTACCAGATACTCCAATGTTTAAATTCAGATTTTTGAACATGAAATATCCCAATGTGTAAATGTGCCATTTCTGACTCAGCCAATCTTCTTGCTGAAGGGCGTGCAGTGTTTATTTCCTGTGAGTGTTTTAACAGTGTAAACCGGAGACCGACATCTTTATAGAAACACTTTTGTGGGCCCTCCAATTATTTGCTTAGGATGATTCCCAGGATGAGAGTGACTGGGGCGAATGGTGTGCGCATTGTAAAGATGTTGAAGCATTTTGCCAGCGTGCTCTCTAGAAAGTGGATGAGATTGCTTTACAGGATGAAGGTTACGTAAGGAACGGGGACCCATTTAAGGAGCATTTTGTCCTGGAGACCAGACGGGAGCCTCACCTTGAGGAGCTTGATGCCAGCGTCCTGAGCCCACTTCGACTGCTCTTCAATTTGCTTCTGAAGGTAGAGCACTTGCCCCTCCAGGTACCGACACATTCCTTGGAAGTAAAGCATGGTTGGCATTCTTCTTGGCACAAGATTTTTTGCTTTATTGGAAAATACTTCAAAACGGTCCCATTCCTGAAGTCTGGCATACCTGCACCACCATGGAAGAATCAGAAAAATCAGTGTCACCCTTGGAAGGGGCTGGTTTTCTGAACTTGGTCTCTCTGTAGGTGTCCCCAATACCTGAGCCTTCGGAAGCCTGCCACCTGCCTACCTGGAGGAAGTTATGTGCTATGGAGCTAGGAACAAATACAATTTTTTGATGATTTGAGATGTATGGAATGCTTGGGGACACTCAGATCCTATTAGCCACCATTTATGTAACTCTTTGGACTTCCACACAGTGAAGCAGGTCAGACCCTTGGAGCTACAAATTCTAGGGCTTGAAGAAATTGCTCAAATTCCAAAAAGAGATGACCTAGGCTGGGACTACCCTGAGAAGCACTGGCCACATCTACAGTGGTTGAAAGAACTCTCCAGGTAAAACAGAGGAGAGTAAGAAATTAGGATGGCTTTTGGACTTTAGAGTTCTTGAACTTTAAATCATATAGGCAAGTCCGTTTGACCTTGAACTATAATTTCTTTGGACTTTAACTGGCAAGGGCAATTCATTTTTGGATTTTAATTTCTCCCAAGGAATTTTATAATAAGAGGAGATCTTTATTCAAATTTGGAACTGCTCTGGCTTGTGGCACTTTCTATAGGCATGTCTTCATAGTATCATTTAATCTCTTCACAAAATCTCTCAATATTGGACGGCATGGCTGCATATATGGTCTGAGATGGGGAGTAGCACAGGGAATGACTTTCTCTCTTGGGGATAGCTGTGGAAGAAATAATGTTCTGGAGGCTTCCTGATCTACTTCCTTGAAGTTAAGGCCATAGCTGCAGGCTGCTGAGTTAAAAACCAAATGGGTTCAAGGGTTGAGCCCAGGCTCACTGGGCTGATAGGGAACAGGACTGCTTCTTCCTTTTACGTGAGGGGAGGGCCGTCCGCCAGTGCACTTTCCCCGCCTCCCTCCCTCCTCCAGTTTATTTATTTATTTATTTATTT